TTGCTTCATTTTAATATTTTGCATATCCTGAACATAATTTTTTCTTAGATTCCACATTAATCAAGTTTTTCACTTGCCTCATTTTCACAAGTGATTTGAGAACCAAATCAGAAATAACATGAAAATAAAATTATTCCTGTTTGTTAGATGATGTAAGGACCATGCTATTCTATCTTAGAACAATTGTTTGCTGTATGTAAAAAATTTAACATATTTGTCTCCTTTACTAATCAAATGAATAACTTCTACTCACAGACACTTAAAGCGAATCTTTGAAGATACAGATCATATACACATTATATATGCAGACACAGTCTTTACTTTTGAGTTGTGTAAAGTATCAATGACTTTAAAAGTATGGGCATTTTAAAGCAGCTCCATACAATTTCTAGTATTTCTGTAAAAAATGCCTCTGTCTTCATGAGTACAAAGCTGCAGCTAGTGTTTACAAATCTACTTTTATGAAACATTATGTAGTGCAGGACCTAAGGCGCTTATTTTAATTCAGCAGTCATTCAAGGTGTGACTCATTTTCTATACACTAAGGCATTGACAATGTAGGTATTTATGATAATTATGCTAATATTCTTTTACGAAGAGATACAATATGAGGTTGTTGTTAATCTGGCCTGCTAGTGACAGCAACTCTAGAATGGGATGAACTGTGCCCTAGACTTCATTGGCCAGATCTTTGTTAACCCTGCAGAAGATGGGCTTGCTTAGAGAAATAAGCTTAGGCATGAATGTTCACTCCCAGTTAGATGCAGTCCTGTCCTAGACCTCTACAGCAACAGCATTAGTATGCTGATCTCCTTAGCTAACAGCATACAGCTAGAATGAAACATACACAGGAGCAAGCATACAATGACAAAAGGAAGTGTACTCATCTTACAATAACAAGGATTGCTAAATATAGTTGTCCTTGTGCATTCTGCTCTTTTCCTTCCTGTTCTCTACTTTTGATACCTCTACAATCCATGGAATTCACAGCAAAGAATTTGAAGTGGCTGCTGGTTCTGTTTCTTACTTTCTGCTTTCAGTTTACTGAAACTAGAATAAAAGACACTGTCCTGTCTTAGAAATACAGAATGAATGTATGACTAAGCTACATCACTCTAGATAATTTATCTAGAAAAAGACTAGGTAGTTGACAATAACAGTTATTTAGACTGCATATAGATAGATTTTCAATGTGGCTTTTTCTGCACAGGAATGGCTAGCTGAGTGGTTTTACCCTGTATTCATAGGCGGTGTGCCATGTTTCTTGTCTCCTCCAGATTGTCATCTTCTTTCCTTTCGATGACCAAGTCTACAAGGTAGGTTGGATTTTGAGGGAGAGGAATAGGAGGAAGTGTTATAAATGCACTGTCGCGGTTTAGCCCAGCTGGCAGCTAAGCTACCATGCTGCTATTCGCTCACTCCTCCCCTTTGGTAGGGTGGGGAGGAGAAAATCGGGAGAAAAGGGCAAAACTGTTGGGTTGGGATAAGGAGAATTTAATACGACAGTACAAGAAAAATGAGAAGTGATAATAACTACAATAATACTAGTACAAAAACAATACAAAACGAATGATACAACTGCTCACCACACGGAACATAGAACCCAGCCCGCTCCAGACCCATGAAGCAAACACCTTCCCCTGGCTGATTCCCCCAATATGTACTCTGAACATGACGTCACATGGTATCAAATAGACTCCCGCCAGTCTGGGTCAACTGCCTGTGGCTACATCCCCTCTCAGCTTCCCGTGAAAAGGTTAACTCTATCCCAGCCAAACTCAGGACATGTACAAATAGACAATATGTCTTGAGGAAGAGATTAACTGTATGTCTATTTGTACTATGAATGATTACAAGCATTACTCATTAACAAATGTTTTAAGGAGATCTTTAAGGAGATTTTGCAGAAATGCATGCTACCAGGAAGGTTATTTTCATAGACAAGTAAAGCAGTAGGGACAACAGGTTCAAAGGATTTACTCATAAGGAAGTTCCATTACAGCTAGATTGATGGGGAGTTAATGTCAGGGTGGAAGATTGTTAAACATCTCCCGACATGTGGGATAGTTCAGGTAAAACTTTGAAAGAATGCCTGAAGAAAAGACTAATGGAGATCCAGAACTGATTTACAGTCTTCATTTGGAGATGGTACATTGTCTATGGCATTGGTGAGAAATACTCCTTCAGAATCTTTTGAGTGGAGGGACGATACTGAAGTTTATGCTCTCGCTCTATGTCAGAAATTATAGAATGGCTTAGTAGTGAGGTATTTATTTCACAAGGAACAGCAAATTGCCCTTGTAGGGGTAAGTATGTTGGAGAATGCTGGGTAATAGGACATTGTAATATTCAACACCCTGATAAGAATCTGCAGTAAGAAAGACTTTCCAGATCTCAACTCTGTTTTTCTTCTGAGAGCTCTCATTTGAGTAGTAGTTTCAGCAGCAGGACTATCAGACTGTTGAACTTAAGAGCTTCTTGCTTCCTTTTTCCCAGTCAGTGGCATATGCTTGGAAAGTGGTTCAGATTGTCAACATGGTATCAATGCTGACACCTTTCTAAAGACTTGTTCCAAAGGCAATGGGGCACGAGGCACAAGGAATGTGTGAGAAACACTGCTAGATTACCTTCCTCCAGAAAAGTAGATTGTTTGAAACTGCTGCAGGCTCTCAAAACAAGATGACATAGGAAAAAAGGCCTATTACTTCAGAATAACAACATGCCTCAGAGCCTAACTGAAAAGGCAGTGCTAGGAACTAAGACCTCTTATGCCCTGTAGAAAGACACGGTAGAATAATGGTCCTTAAAGCAGAATTGTCCTAGGTCAGCCAAACCTTTCTTTGGGTCAAGCAATATAATGTAGAAGTGTATATACCAAATATGATGAGGAACACATTTTCGGAGGTGTTACTGTCTGTCCTTTTGGCTTTGTGACCAAAAATTGTATGATGAGTCATCTGGTGGTAGCACAATAATAGTAACATGGTTGTTGTGGTCTTCCGAAAGGAAATTCTGAAAGGAAAGCAATTGTGAGCAGCAGCATAGTTATTTAAGCATTTATGGTGGATTTGGAAACAAGATCCGTTATCCTTAAGGGAAGTGCTTGCTTTCCTTACAGCCCTTTTCAATCAAAAGTTAGGTGTTTAGCAATTATTATGCAAATTTTTGCATAAATCTCAACAAAGGGGAAATATTTCTTTAGAAATGTGGAAGATAAGGAAAGGAAAAAATAGATTGGCTTGGAAAGTTTCTACATTTGACATGAATTTCTGAAATGAGTTTTAAACTGTACCGCCAAAATTTTAAAAACTGTTTTTCAGATGTCTATGGTAAAACATTTACAGTGCTTCCTGATTTTCAGAAAGAGCTAAATTTGTCTGGTAAATCAAGCATCTTTAAAATGACACAAGTTGAGGGAAGAATCCAATCATTACTAATCCAATCATTAGAAATTGTATTATCAAAGATTAAAAAGACTAGTTTAAAAAATAAAATCCAGAATTTAGTGAAAAAAATCAAGCTAAATATGTTCTAACTTGAATCTTCAGACTATAATATTAAAGAATATCTATTCCATTCTTGCAATTGCAAGTATAACATATTGTGGTGCAGACTAATAGCCTTACTCATGGACAAGAACCTTCGTGTATCAAGTAACACAAAAATAGGAAGCAAACAAATTTGCTAGTCAAATTGCTTTTCAATCTAAGACAAGAACAGAAGAAAATAGGTAAGTGATTCAACAGGAATACAATAAGACTGCATCAATCAACATTCTAGAGAGTGTTATTAGTACGTTGATGAGCCTAACTGCCTATCAGTAAGGCGCTGTGTGCATATATATATATACACACACGTAGATATGTCAGATCGTATGTATAAATCTCAGGGAATCAGAAATTGCTATGACGGAAGTGTGGAAGACTGATTAATCAGGCCATCTTTAAACTTAAAAAAAACTTTACTGCATAGATATTCATTAACAATATACATTGCTAACGGTTAGTTCTTAATAATGATTAATAACTATTACTACATATTCAAAGCAGTTAGTCCTTAACAGTCATCCTAAATTAGCAACTAATATACAATACCACAGAGCTGATGCCATGTAATTAGCACCACTGGTTACAGTCCTTGAGAGTCTCAGTCATCAGGGTGATCAGGTTCAAGAAGTCTTCAATGAAGGAAGTTAATACTGAAAAGGGTGTCCTTTCTTCCCCCTCCTCTAAGCCCGAATTCAAGATGTTCAACTTCTTCTATAAAATATTGGTCTTTAGAGAGCTCTTAGCCCTTGACCTCTGACCCCTAGGACTTTGAGAGACTTGCAGATGCTACTTTCCCAGGGTGCAGCAGGTTCCTTGCCCATTAGTTGTGGGTTTTCTTATCTGCTGCTTCTTTTCTGTGTTATACTTGAAGCAATCTTTTCTCAGCTCTTAAGGTTGCACCTCTTCAATGGTACTTACAGTTCTGAGACCTTTCTTTTCAGCCTGCACTCATGTTTTCAAGACCTTTGTTGTCATCCCAGGCCAAAACTCCACATCATAACAAGAGACATCTAGCATCAAGCTCCAGTTGACCTGCAAGTTCTCATAACAAGTTGATAACAACCTTAATAGGCCAGGACTGACTGTGCTTTACACAGACTGTGCACAGTGAGGATAAGGTTTGAGGTTTGTTTCTGGCAATAGCAAAATAATTTTTACTGAGCATGAAAATGTTTACAAGTTGTTTACCAGACATGCCTGATTAGTGTGAGTTTGACAGAGTCCAAAGCAAGCTAATATTAATTACATTTGGTTTAAGATGCTTTTACTTTATGAATGCAACAGGCCTCTGCTTTGGTCAGATAGTAGAGTTGTTTGAATAATGAAAATTAGTAGTGGGAAATTGGTACATATTTACTTAGTATTTCTTGGTTTTGGAGGACTTATGAAAGGAAGGAGGAAAGCCAAAACAATATTGATATTGATATTGAAATAACAACAGTGACAAAAACAGCAGTATTGAAATAATTACAGTGACAATTCAGAGATAAGTACTGCCTTTAATTTACATGTTGCATGACCCACTTTGAACATTGACCAGAGAATAGTAGATGCCTTTTTCAGCCAGGAGCTGCTGATGGGTCCCTTGCTCTACAACCTTGCCATTCTGGACCACGGCAATCTTGTCAGCATTTTGGATGGTAGAAAGGCGGTGAGCTATCACAATGCAGGTGCGACCTTCTCTGGCTTTATCCAGCGCTTCCTGGACAATCTGCCCAACAAACAAACCAAAAGGTGAACTATTCTGGCAGCTGTCATGGATATCCCTCAATTGCCATCAATGAAGTAAACTGCAATGTAACAGTGGCCTTAGCTTCCATTTTAGAATTAGGCTGTGTTGGCAAGGAGTCAAAACTGTCACAGCAGATGATGCCATGATAGCTGAGGATGAGATGGAACCAGGCTCATTACTGAGATGCATGGTAGGAGAACAGGAGAAAATGGTCATAAATTGTAACTGAGGAGGTTCTGACTGGATATAGGAAAAATATTTACTGCAAGGATAATTAAACATTGGAACAGGGACAGAAGAGAGCTTGTTGAATCTCCTTGGGGACTTTCAATGACCCTGCTGGACACAGCACTAAGCAACCTAGTTTGAATTCAGTATTGGCCCTCGTTTGAAAAGGAGCCTTGATTAGAGACCTCCAGATGTCCCTTCTATGACCGATGAATTATATAAGGGAGTTAAGTCAGTAATCTTGGGTCAATTACTATCATACTAGTTCTCATGATTTCACAGGAAGTCCCATGAATCACATTTTTCTTAAAGCTAGTACTGGCAGCAAAATACCAATAAGAATCTCTGCTTTCTTTTCTCTATTCTGTATGTTCATTAACGCAGAATAAATAAGAGATGAAATTTCTGCACCAAAATGGCACATAATTAAGAAAATAATCTTGAATTATTTAATGGCCTTTTCCCCTCAAAACTTATGCATTTATGCCTAGAATTGATCAAAACTTAGTCCGCAGCATTTGAGCTTTTCAGATTATAATATTTGTTACATTTGCCTCATTAATAGTAAGTACTTTTGTAGAGTGTGTTGATTTTCTACAGCTAGAGTGTACTTCTCTTATGCCAAGATTTTAAGCTTTGAGCTTAAAAAAGAAATCTGTTCTAGTAAATTTTTCACTGGAAGTTTGCACATTAGCCATGAACATATAACAAGGAATGGAGAGCAATGGGAGAAGCAAGAAAAATTATGAAAGCAAGATTTGGCCATTTCCCAGAAAAAAGCTTCTCTGGCAGCATCCTCAGTCTTTTCAGGTTCTGAAGTTCGTGCCTCCTGATTTAATTTTGATAATACTTTTCCAATTGAAGCCTGAAGACTTTCAGGGAAAGAAATGTCTTCTTCATTGCTACTTCAATTTGCCTACTGCCATACAAATGCAAAAAACCAAACAAACAAAAACTTTTCTTGACAAGGAGGAGTAAGACTTTTATATTTGTTTACTATTAGCATAAATATGTAAGTTGCATAAAACACCATATTTCCAGCTGTAGGCTTTAATCTGTGGGAGTGAAAACAATAATCATTATACAAACAACATGGATTTGGATTCCAGACTCCTGGCTCACAATCGAGTTACCTTTTCACTTTCTGTATCTAAGGCTGACGTAGCTTCATCCAGTAGCAGAACTTGGGGCTGACGTACAAGGGCTCGGGCAATAGCGATGCGTTGTTTCTGACCACCAGAAAGCTGAGTTCCCTTGTCTCCTACACAGGTATTGTATTTCTAGAAACAGTATATTAAGTTCAGATTATGAATGAAAATCGATTCTGAAGTATATTTAAGCATATTGACCCTGACACCAGCCGGCCATCCATAAACTACATATTCTATGACAATAGCTCTCCGAAAACAGATAACTGGAATTGCTGTCTGCCACAAATCTATGATCTTTCACTAGGACACTTCTTTGTAGCATCAAGCATTTCATAAATTCAAAGCAACAACTCTGCTAAGGTTGGAAGGCAACATTATTCTCAAACAGGAGATAGAACATCAAAGCTCAGCGAAAGTCTATGACAATGCTGGGGGTCAAACCCTGACCTTAAACACTCCAAACTGGCATCCTAAACAGTTACTCTAACCCACAGTCATCCATTCTGAAGAAAAAAAAAAGCAATGTATACGATGTATCAGTTTCAGGCCAAATTATATGCTATATCTATATATAGACATAGACATTTATACACTTTATCTATATCTATACTACAGTTTTGAACAGTTATGCTTTCAATTTAGTTATGTCAGTTAAGGCAGACCAGTCAGGTCTCTGGGCAAACTCATATGTAGGTCACAGCAGTCTTTGAGATATTATATATATGCGGTTGCAAGAAGCACCAAAGTTTTATAAGACATCATTATATACCACAAGATTTCTCTAAGAAGTTGCGGGAAGAGCAGATCTTGATAAGTCACTAGAAACTAAACATGATCTGCAAAAATCATGGGATTTGGCCTTTCTATTTTTTCAATAAATGAAAAAAGCAGCTTAACAGCCTGAAATTAAGCTGAATACATACAACATAAAACTAAGCTGGCAACCTCCTTGCTTCAGGAATTTTTGGATACAAGTTGACATAGGTTAGAAATTGATTTGCCAAACCCACAGAACAAAAATCCATCCAGAACTATGAAATAATAAAACACGATTCCTACCATAGGAAGTTCCTGAGTCACAAATTATGCAAAGTTAGATGAGAATTCAGAGGAAATTTGTTTAAATGTTTAGCGTTTGTGAATACTTATTTGTAAATATGTCTTGCAGGTCACTGCCTGGGACAACATTTTGTGTGTGGCAGACCTTTCATCTGACCCAAGACGTTCATTCTTACATTATTACATGTTGGTCAGCTGTATGTATAAAAGACTTTCCTGGTAATTTTTGAACTGTAGGAACACTATAAGTTTAAATTCTGACTAGGTATAACTGGAAGAAATGCATAAGAAAACTGTCAGCCTAGCAGAGTCTTCTACATGTGCTTGAGATTAATAGGAGCTTAAAAAGAAATGTTTATCTCATTTTAAAAAACCCACCTCACACTTCCAGCTCTCAATTAGATATAACTGTGGATTTTCTTCCCTGAAATCTTAAATGTTCAGCTCTGCACCTAACAACAGGGTCTTCCAGAGTAAAAACAAGTATAGCAAACACAATTAAGAAAGGATAAGATTGAAAAATCAGTGTCAGATCTGTTTGTATTTCAGGGAATCATAAATGGACACATTTTTTCCCTACTTCAGTAGATCATCTCCAGATCTGACAAGGAAAGAAAAGCAATAACTTACATCTGGCAGAGAGTCAATGAAGGAATGAATGTTGGCTTCTTTTGCTGCATTAACAATCTCCTCATGTGACACTTGCCGACTGTTATCTCCATATGCGATGTTCTCAGCAATAGTGCAGTCAAACAGGATCGGTTCTTGTGAGACAATACCAATCTGAGCTCTCAGCCACTGGATATTTAGTGTCTTTGCATTTTTGCCATCAAAAAGCTGAGAAACCAAACATTTTAAATTTCAGTCCCGTGGCTATATGTGTGCTTGAGACTTACTGTAAATTCATACACAGAAGTTGTGCAATTGCAGCTCTTTCCTTTTTTTTTCCTCTTCCTATCACATAATCCCTACACCTCCTTCTCCTCTATGTTCCAAAATTTTCTAAGGGCTATTACATAAAAGTGATGATAATGCCTTCTGCTGCCTCAGACCTTTTCTTTGCTTCAAGATTTAATCAGGTTTTTGAAGAGAGTGGAAGATAGGATATGCTGAGGCACCTTCAAAGAACTTTGGGTAAAGTTCTCTCATTTCTTTCTCCAGTGGGAAAATTTTCCTCTATTTTGCATATATATTCTCACTGAAAGAACAGATTGGCAGTAGTATTCCATTAAAATAAAATTACATAAAATCCATTAAAAATTCCATTAAAAAAAAAGAGGAAGAGTTGGGTTCATTCATTCACACACTTCTAAGCCAAGCATCCAATCTTAAATTTAATTGTGATGTAATGCCTGACAATGGACAAATTTACTTCTGGATTCCTTAAGACATCATTTGCAGCCAGTTTTCTTTATTGGCAACTGTGTCACACTTCTGATAAATTTGGCTACTGAGTTGCTATCATTGTCTATTAGATAAATAACAACAGAATTTTTTTTTTTGAAAGATCAGTTTCATAATTATGCAAGTCATGTAAACTCAGACACAAATATAGCAGGACATTAAGAGGGGCTGTTACTTCTCCACTAGAATTACCCAGTGCAATGCTAAGGCTCTATGTTGAGTGACATGATCAGCTGGGTAACTGATGAACTGACCCCTTCATAGCATGGTTATTGGAAGTGATTAATCTACTAATTCCATAGTTGTGCTAGAACAACCAATTTGCAGCCAATAGAATTGTTTTTCAAAGGGATGAGATCAGATGAACCTGATTCAAAATCCACTGAAATCAGTGGCAGTTTTTCTACATCTGCAGATGTAAAGGGCGGAAAAAAGGTAGAAAGGAGAAATTGCTTTCAACTACATAGATATTTGCCATCTCTTTTCCTTAGAGTTCCAATGGATTTGCAGGCTGCTAAGGTCTGCTTCCTGTTCTTCATTTGATGTGAAAAATCACTGATGAAACTAGAGAGCTCAGTTGGTATGCATTTTGGATCCACCACACCAAATAGCACAACTTTTAGGCATAGTTACTCTCTTTACCAGACTAGCACAGCGCACACTGTTGTGAACAGCTGTTCTTCTGACAGTGCTTTTAAGCATACACTCCTTTCACTCAGTTCACAGTCCAACGGAGCTTGTGAATTAATTCCACCGCTTTTGTGGTTTCCATGTCAGAGTGCTTTTCCCTTCAGTAAATTGTCGGCCATTTATGGATACAAGGTCAAAAACATTGGTGATGAAGTTGCACTTGGTTAAATATACTTTTGAAGCACTTATGCTGCTTGTTTCTACACATCAGTTTGCTACACTGGACCTGTATAAGCATTTCCAATCTCAAAGAGATCTTGTCCATTTCATCTAGGCCTTATTTAAATATTGCTTTATCTTTTGTGAGTATCTCTGCAGAGACAAGTTCTGAAATTCTTCTTATTCTCACCTCATCCAACCCAAAATGTGTGGGTTATTTTTCAAACAAAATCTCTGAGCACATTTAAATCAAAGAGGAGATAGTAATAAACAATACCATCACATGAAAAAAGTAAGGAAAGTTGCTGAATATGTAGTGTGGGAAACCCTAAATTTATTTTAAACCAAACTACTGAAAGTATTTACAATCTATCACTTGATAAGTGAGCATACTCTGAAACATGTTTCTGTGAAGTAAAAATTATGATTAAAATGATTTTTGTCAATGTTCAGCGTTTTAGGAAAGAACATAGATGGCAAATTTTATTACTATGTTACACAGAAGTAGATACGTATATTTAATAAATTTTAAAGTGTTCTTAACACAAAAACCTCAGGAAACTTGCTCTGAATTTAAAGCCATCATTAGGCTGTGGATCAGGCATATTTTTACCACACAGATCTTGTTTCATTAAGTCATTATAATGTGGGAAATTGGGACTTTTTCCATTATATTATTTCTTCACATTTAAATAAGGAACCCTGATAAGTCACTCACTGCTTGTCTTTAACATTAAAAACATTTTTAAAATAAAACTAGAAATATCTATTATACTTCATCATATCACATAAAACCAAATAAGCACACCCTCACTTAACATGTTAACATGGTTTTACAAAAATACTTACAATTTCGCCATCAAGTGGATCATAAAATCTCTCAAGCAGCTGAACAACAGTGCTCTTTCCACAGCCACTGCTGCCAACAAGTGCCAGGGTTTGTCCTTTTTCTACTTCTAGATTCAAGCCTTGCAGGATTTTGATCTGTGGTCGGTTTGGGTAGTTAAATGCCACATTTTTGATGGTTATGTTTCCCCCAAATGTTTCCTATAATTGAAATAGTATCATTGTTACAACTTTGAGACAATTTCACAGATGATTCAAATAGAGTTGCAGAAGTCTTGATTTTCCCCACTGATCAATAAAGTTTTGCATTTGCTGGAATGCTGACTTTAACTCTGTGGTCTGAAACTTTGTGAAGCTATATAAAATCAAAGTACAGCACTGAACTGTTTTGAAAATACTCATAATTCTGCTGGGTGAATTCCACACAAGATGTACCTTAACCAGATTTTCAAAACGAATAACCTGTAAATAGTGTGGGCAAAAGCTGGACTCACAATAGAGAACTTGGTCTATGTTGTGTTTGGATAAGGTGTCGAGAATACATTGAGATGAAGAAGTAATTAGAAGGACAGGAAAAATCAGTTTGAAGGAAGTGAGAAGACTATTGTCCATATTGTCGATAAGTAATATTGCCCATTACATATGGCTTACTTACAGGCTTCTCTCCTTCCTCGCTGTAACTATCTATCGAGGGTACTCTTTCAAACAGCAGAAACAAGTGGGCTGCTGATATCTTGGCTTTAGCATAGTCTGGAGCAAAAGAGCTGGTCTGTCCTAACGCCATTGCACCAAATACAACAGCTGAAAACACTCTGTAAAAGAAATTAGGAAAAAAATAAATAAATAAATGGACAATGAAGAAAAGGACAATGGAAATGGGGCTGCAGTCAACTTTTTCTTTTACTCAGAGAAAAAAGGAGACTAAATTTTAAAAGAATAAAGCAGCAACCAAATATTATTGCTTTAATTACTCACTTAGTTCCAGAAATTTGTTTTTATCCTCTTTTAATGAAGTGAGATAAACAAGCCTCCATTCCAAATTCAATGTTTTCTTATTATGTTACTTATTATGAACTTGATTCAATGTTATTCAATGTTACTTATTATCACTAATTTCTTTAATTATTAATATTGGTTAACTGTATTAAGTTTCAACTGAGGCTAGGAGGAAAGTGGTCGATGGATGATAAAATATCACTCTAATAGTGTTCTACTATTGCTGTAGTAGAACTCTCTATGGTTCAACGTTTGGGAGTTTGTGATTCCTTTTTAAGGCATCAATGAAAATAAGAAACCTACCCTCTAACAAGGTGACAATAAAGATTTAATTTGCTATCACAAAATGTGGAAATTTGGAAAACGTGGATTTGCTGGAAAAACGTGAAGTGATCACAACACCAAAAAAAGTTTGAAAACTACACTATTACTGCTTTATGGTGAATATAGATGTCTCTTTACAGGCTACATTAGAAGGGTTTAAGAACTTGCTGTCCTCATCTATTAACTACTGCCACACAACGTAGGATTACTCATTACCAAGAAATGGTAATTGATACGAGACCTCTTAGCCTGTTTGAAGGCAAAGTAAAATAAATTAATTTATATGAATTTTTATATTTTATCTTCAGAGCTACATAAACTAATCTCTTTTATACTGCATTTGAACAGCCTAGACAGGTTTATACTGTTTTAGGTCAGACAATCCCTTCCAAATCTAACAGAGCCACTGGAAGTTCACTGCCTCAGCGGGCTAGAGATGTTCAGCTAGCAGATGGGATGTATATACTTTCCAATCTTCTAGTCAAAATGAGCTGTGTTAACTATCTTTAACCAGGTTGCCAACAAAAATTGATGTAATTGGCCTTTCTTAGGTATTGAGGTCACTGATATCCATACTGGTAGAATCTTATTCTTTTCATACTTATTTCCATAGGCCTGTATTGAGCTATTGCCTCTTAAATTGCAAATGATATTTTTTCAGAGTTTATATGTGTTCTACAAGAATGGGACTTTGGTTATGATAGGGCTTTTAGGTATTATGGTAAACAATTGGATAAAAAGTTATTAAAAACCCAAAATATAAAGGTAAAAAGCTAAGGATACGCTACAATTTCAAAATAATTCCTTTAATTTTTGTGCAGTTTCTGCCCTTAAAAGCCTAAAAAGTGACCTTAGAGACAAATAATTGTACTATTCCTTGTATGATTTCAGATTGCAATGGATACACCTTGCAAATTAGGCAAATTAGAATCATATTTTATTTGCAGTACCTGTCTGAATTAAAAATAAAATGCTTCACCTGGCTATGAGTATATACAGTACTCTACATACCATTCTTACATTCATGGTTCATACTTTTGTTTCCCCCATGAAATTGGTTTATTTCAGTGAACAAGCTTCTTATCAAAACGTCATCTAAAATAATTTAGTTATCCTTCTCTTATAGTGAACAGCATCTACCTTATGAAATCCTGTCCTCCAATTATTTAACATTTATTTCAGAGAAGATTTCAAATTTCAATGAAGAAACCTGATACAGAAATAACAAAGATGATGATGACCTATTCTTATAAAGATTTTTACAATATTATTACATTTTTATACACATGTGCTACTATATTTTTTGTAAAATATATGGAGGACCTCACAGCTACATGAACAATAATATTGGTGAGAATAAACAAAGTGACATAAGTAGGATACTGTTTCAACCTCTGGAAAACATAATAATCCCAAACAAATACAGCAAATACAGAAAAGGAAAACCAAAATCAGGCCTACTTGAACAGCTCACACTCTGTTGTCACCTAGAGCATCCACTTTGTAATATGCTTTCATTATATTTAAGTACAGAAGAATTTGCATGTTTTCTCATAGATTACCCAATAGATTCAGGATATCTCTAGCAGAAAACAGAGACTTTTGTCTGGACTGATAGAAAAAAGATTGCAAATGAAATACTTACAAAAACACACTTTTATACTCCATGTGTCCATTTACCACTAGATAGGCACCAAATCGGAAACAGGCAGCGTAAGTAAAGAACATCATTGCTTGTGAAAGAGAAAAACAAATTCCAAATATATGTGCTTTCTTCACGGAATTTCTGTAAGAAATAATGCGTATTTTCATAAAAATGTGCAATCATACTATAAGTCTTAGTATGCAAAAAACAATTAATTGACTTCAGATGATTCTGTTATGAATGGGAAGTGTATTCATGCTTAAACAACACAATCCCTTAACTCCTATTAGACATTGCAATAGAAGATAACAATATTGTCATAGAAAATTAATTAAATCAACGAACAGATATGTCGGCTGGTGGTTGCATTTGCTAATAAAAATATGCAAAATATTTACAATAATGTTGAGATAATTAAATCATACATTAAATCATTCACACTAACAAAAAAATTCGCAATGTTAGTTCAATGAAATGTTTGTAATTTATTCTATAATGTAAATACAGATTATTTTTTTTTAGCTTAGTTATTTTTATTATACCTGTATGGTACACGCAAATGTTCTCCATACATCAACTCAAATTTTTTTTCTCGGGTCAAACTAACAACAGTTCTGATATTTTCTATGGCTTCTGTGGCAATCTGCAATAGAAACACAAATGCTTTCATCAAAAGTTAAGATTATGTTGCAATTTTTTATTCTAAACTAATAAAAAATCTGCTGGAATATAATTTTATATTTTTTTACAATTGTTATTGAAATCATGGACCTTTGATATCAAAAGTAATCATTTTACATTTTTCTTTTTATGACAGTGAGATTTTCTGATGATGCTCAGAATTTTCTGGTAAGACCTCTTGAACGTCCTCCAAATAAGTAGTGAAAAACCAGTAGACAACAGTGACAAATATGGAGAAGATATTCTATAAGAGAAATGGCAATTTAGCATTCAACTTCCAGTCCACTGAGTTTGGGCTATAATCAGAATGTCCAGCTTACTTATGTGCCTAGAGCCTGACTTAGATCTCGGCAGTAAATATTTGATCTGAACAATACTACCTTCTTTAAGCTTGCAGATTCTTTAGACTTGGGTCATTTGCATGCACAAAGGTACCTAGTAATATTTGAGGGTAGTGGAAGCATGACTGTGTGGGAGCAACTGATTCAAGGCTTTCTTGTAGTCTGTTAAGTCTATGTAGGTGTCCACGAAGACTTCCTCAATGACCACACAGTGAAGCTAGGAGTCTGTATGGTCAATTCAGTCCATATGCGTGTAGAAGAGGATGATGCTTAGAAATTGCCAACAGAAAACACCTGGAACAATCAATCACATTTCTTTAGACACTGGAACTAGTGCTACATCTGTTCATTCTTCTCTGGTTGAAACACTGGGCTTGAGTCCGTGACCCACGTCTGGTGCAATATGTGGCGTGCTGGGTATTTCAGTTGGCCTCAACTGCTGTTGCTCTGGGAGGGTGGGGATTCCCACATGTACTGCATTACACCTGACAATCCCATAGCGATGGATGTTTTCAACTTCCTGATGCATCTCAAATAGTATTAAACAACTATATCTAGGCTCTATTCAGTTGCTAACTAGTCTCATTTCTAAGGATGGGTATTTAGCAGAAGAGCTCACTTATGAGCATAGGTACTCTACAAATGCACAGTAATAACTGTTTATTACTCAGAGAACTGTATGTACAAGAAAGTATACATTAGCAGGAAATTAATATGGACAATGCCAACAGTAACGTAGCTAGACTTTTGTAGATCTCGTCTACAAAAGAACCCCAAGGTTTTAAGATATTATGCTGAAATACATATTTCATGCTTTGTACTTTTAGTCTAAGAAAGACCATAAACTAAGGTCAAGGGAAAATATAAACAGAGGAAAGCATATCTAGACAAAAGAACGTGAACTTTGCATCTTAATAACCAGAACTGGCCACAAGATCACAGTGCTGTAGATGACTCAAGGCATAAATCTGCAGCTAACCATTAAACGGCATCAGCCCAGAAAAAGGTGAGAAATCAGGTGCATCTGCTTGTATATTTATATTCATGTAAACTCAGGTTGTAAAAGAAGGGCTTTATATAACGATGGTGTTTTTCAGCACTGAATTCTTATTTGTGCTTGGGTTTTCCCTGAAGGTGTGGTGAGTCCAATAATTCTTTGCACCTAAACATTTGAAGCTTGGGAGAGTTATTTTTCCCCAAGAGACTGACAATGTTTTTCAACATCCTAAAACTTATAAAAGTTCAATCTTAACATTATTTTATATTTGAATTTTAGGAAGCATAAAATAGATACACATTTATTTTACATATTGTTACTGCATTTGGTATATTACATGGCTTATATTTTCCATAAAGCTCTTTGAGAACCAGTGCTTTGGAACATTGTGCTTCTCTGGACCTAGTTCCTTGAACTCTCTCTGTTTCCAGTGCACGCCTAGAAGGCAGCAAAGTCCTTGTTCTGCACAAAGCTTTCTGAACTGAGCACTTACAAAAAAAGCAGGAGAGAAGGTTCAAGGAGAAGCAGAAGCACTTTTAATAAGTTATTGTACTACAACAGGTCTGTCAGTCTCACTCCAGTGCCTGGTAAAATTATGGAGAAGGTTAATCTTGGACTTATTGAAAAACACTTGAGAGACAATACAGTCATTGGTCATAGCCAGCATGGGTTCACGAGGGGAAGTCCTGTTTAACTAACTTAATTTTCTTTTATGACAAGGTTACTCATCTAGTTGACCAAAGGAAGCCAGTAGATGTGTGGTTTTTTTTATTTTAGCAAATATTTTGATGCTGTTTCTCACACTATCCTTCTGGATAAAATGTCCAGCATACAGCTAGACAAGTTTATAATATGTTGGGTGAGCAATTAGCTGACGGGTCAGGCTCAAAGAGTTGTAGTAAATGGGGCTACATCAGGCTGGCAGCCAGCCACTAGTGGGGATCACTAGGGCTCAATTTAAGGGCCAGTGCTCTTTAATGTTGTTATAAATGATGTAGATGCAGGAGGCGAATGTGCACCAAGTAAGTTTGTTGATTGTACTAAATTAGAAGGAGCTGTGGGCTCCCTCAAGGGTAAAGAGGCTGTACAGTGAGATGTCGATAGACTAGAGAGCTGGGCAATCAATTTCGCTTCTATTAAAAAAAGAAGAAAAAGCTTCTATAGTTGTCTCAGTGATAAAGGGAGAACTAGAGAAAATATGGGTCCTCTCCGGAAGGAAACAGGAGACCTGGTTACCGAGGATATGGAGAAGGCTGAAGTACTTAAGGACATTTTTGTCTCAGTCTTCACTGGCAAGAGCTCTAGCCACACTGCCCGAGTCACAGAAGGCAAAGGCAGGGACTGGGAGAATGAAGAACCACCCACTGTAGGAGAAGATCAGGTTTGAGACCATCTAAGGAACCTGAACGTGCACAAGGCCATGGGACCTGATGAGATGTGGCCATGGGACCTGAGGGAACTGGCAGATGAAGCTAAGCCGTTATCCATCGTATCTGAGAAGTTGTGGCAGTTCAGTGAAGTTCCCACTGACTGGAAAAGGGGGAACAGCCCCCATTTTTAAAAAGGGAAAGGAAGACTCAGGGAACTACAGACCAGTCAGTCTCACCTCTGTGCCCGGCAAGATCATGGAGCAGATCATCCTGGAAACATGTTAAGGTACATGGAAAAAAAAGGAAGTGATTGGTGACAGCCAACATGGTTTCACTATGGGCATATCGTGCCTGACAAATTTGGTGTGCCTTCTATGATGGGGTTACAGCATTGGTGGATAAGGGAAGAGTAACAGATGTCATCTACCTGGACTTGTCCAAAGCATTTGACACTGCCTTGCACGACATCCTTGTTTCTAAATTGGAGAGATAACAATTTGATGGATGGACCACTCGGTGGATAAGGAATTGGCTGGATGGTCGCACTCAAAGAGCTGCAGTCAACGGCTCGATGTCCAAGTGGAGGCCAATGATGAGTGGTGTTCCTCAGGGGTCGGTATTGGGGCTGGTGCTGTTTAACATCTTTGTCAGTGACACGGACAGTGGGATTGAGTGCATCCTCAGCAAGTTTGCAGATGACACCAAGTTGTGTGGTGTGGTGAACACGCTGGAGGGAAGGGATGCCATCCAGAGGGACCTTGACAGGCTGGAGACGTGGGCTTGTGAGAACCTCATGAAGTTCAACAAGGCAAAGTGCAAGGTCCTGCACATGGATTGGGGCAATTCCAAGCACAAGTACAGGCCAGGCAGAGAACAAATTGAGAGCAGCCCAGAGGAGAAGGACTTGGGAGTGCTGGTTGATGAGAAGCTCCACATGAGCTAGCAATGTGCTCTTGCAGCCCAGAAAGCCAACCATATCTTGGGCTGCATCCAAAGAAGCGTGGCCAGCAGGTCGAGGGAGGTGATTCTGCCCCTCTACTCCGCTCTCATGAAACCCCACCTGGAGTACTGCGTTCAGCTCTGGGGTCCCCAACACGAAAAGGTCATGGAGCTGTTGGAGCAAGTCCAAAGGAGGGCCACAAAAATCCTCAGAGGGCTGGAGCACCTCTGCTATGGGAGAGTTGGGGTCGTTCAGCCTGGAGAAGCGTCCAGGGAGATCTTACAGCAGTCTTCTAGTACCTAAAGGGGCCTGCAGGAAAGCTGGAGAGGGACTTTTTACAAGGGTATGTACTGATAGGACAAGGGGCAATGGTTTTAAACAGGAAGAGGGGAGATTTCGATTAGATATAAGGAAGACATTTTTTACAATGAGGATGGCAAAACACTGGAACAGGTTGCTCCGAGAAGTTGTGGCTGCCCCATCCCTTGAGGTGTTCAAGGCCAGGTTGGATGAGGCTTTAAGCAACCTGGTCACGTGGAAGGTGTCCCTTCCCATGACAGGAGGGTTGGAACTAGATGATCTTTGAGGTCCCTTCCAATCCAAACCATTCTATGATTCTGTGAAATTTAACAAGAGCAAATGCCAGATTCTGTGTCTGTGACAGAGTAAGCCTGGTTGTACAATTTAGGGGATGAGAGACTGGAGAACAGCCTCACAGAAAGAGATCTGGAGGTTTGGGTTGATGGCAAGTTGTATCTGAGTCAACAGCGTGCCCTTGCAACCAAAAGGGCCAACCGTGTTCTGGGGGGCATCAAGCACAGCATAGCTAGGCAGTCGACGAAGGTGATTGTCCCACTCCACACTGCAATGGTGTTGACCCACCTTATTACTGAGTGCAGTTTTGGGTGCTTCAATATAAGGATGACACCAAACTATTAGAGTGTGTCCAGAGGAGGACAACCAAGATGCTGAATGATCTTGAGGGCAGGATTTATGAGGAGTGGCTAAAGTCACTTCTTTTGTTCAGCTTGGAGAAGAGGAGGCTGAGGGGTGACCCCATCACAGTCTACAACTCCGTCAAGGTGGGTAGCAGAGGGAGAGCTGCTGATTTCCTCTCTCTGGTGATCAGTGATAGAATAGGACATGAGGAAATGGTATGAAGCTCTATCAGGGGAACATCAGACAGGACATTAGGTAAAGGTTCTTCACTGAGAGAGTGGTCAGTCACTGGAACAGGGTCCTCAGGGAAGTGGTCACGACACCAAGACTCAGAGTTCAAGGAGCATCTGGATGACACTCTTAGTCAAAATAAGTATCAGTTGATAATCGATTATTATTGAAGAGGTGTTATGCTCTGTAGGTCTACTAATGTAACTAAATAGAGTCTGTCTCATCTGGAAGTTAAATATTATTATATGTTCTGTATTTGGAAGTAATACATCTATCAACAATACTTTGGTAAACATGACTTTATACATTAGACGGAAATAAACTTCTCTAGACCCACCTTTCCTGCAGCTTCCAGTTCTTCTTTATCTTTTCTAGCATGCCCGGCCAACATCTTCATTTCAATCATTCCTGCCACTGCAATGATTGGCACAACAGCTAAAAGTAGCAGGGTCAGCTGCCAGCCATAAACTAATGATATAATAATTCCAGTCCCCAGGTTAGCTATGTTTTGGGCAATTAATGCTAGTCTGACACCAGTTGCCTGCAGGAAGAAAAAAGACATTTCTTGCTAAACTAACTTAAATAAGGAAAGCATTTTCACCTGTAATATTCCTGATTCTCAAAACACACAGTTTTGCTGCTTTTCAAAATGTGAGTTTCTTGAATTACTTGTAAAAAATTATCTAGGTCACATTTAATTCTTCTCTCCCCATATTCTGATTACTTAAATTTGCACTGCAATTTTTAAATTCTGCTCTTGAAGCTGGACAGACTTTAAGCATATCACATATTTACATTTACAGCTAAAAACTAAAATCTGTCACATTTTGTAGCTCATGCAGCTAGCATTATAAGTCATCACACAGAGCCCAATGAAGAAGAAAAATAAATGTTTAACTTACAAAGCCAAAGATTCTACAGAATTCCTCAGGTCAGGAAAAATGTGCCTAACTTCATGGAGCAGTAAAAATTTATTTAAGCATACACAGATAACTACACTCAGTGCTCTTTAGCCTAATGTTACAGACTCCTGTAAGTCCATTATTACTTCTAAAGGATCTCCAAGAAGTAACAAGGAAAAGGAAGTTTATTGGTATCATGTCTAATTTTTTTCATATAAGGAATTTGTACAATCAAACTAGTAGGAGGTCATAAACTGAACAAATTTAGATGCATATCTTTAGATAAATAAGATCTCTCTGAACAGACTTTTTAGACAAAGAGATTCCCAGTTGACAATGAAAATCATAATACAGCATAGTAGTACACTTAAAAAAAGGTTTAATTGGAAATGATTTCGTAATCATATATTACCATCATTGTTATAAAACACATAAGTGCATTCTATACCAGGTATTGTTTTATAGTATGTCAGTTGTCAAAGTCAAGACTGTTGTCCAACCAGTCAAATCCAAGCTGCATACTTTACTACATGCTAAACCAAATATGAAAAATTCCAAATCAAAATTTTACTTACTCCTTTCACTTGTGAGGCATCATTAGCAAGTCTTGTAGTCAATGCCCCAGTGCTATTTTTGGAGTTATCAAACCAGCCCATCTCCTACAATAAAAATAATTTTTCTTAGGACCAGTTTTTGAACATTTCATGTAAATCACAACGTAAAACTGAGGTCTACCTAATAAAACTGAGTTCAGGGTCAAGAAGATTGTACATGTGTCAGTGTATCAATTCTGCATATTTAACTAAGTCTAATTCCTTCATTGCACAATGAATATTTTTAGAAAAAAGTGTATGCTTGTGGATGATCTGATGTGTACATTGTTACTGCTAAGAAGGAAGGAGACTAGCCTATTCCCCAAACCAAAATCTACCCTCCTCCATCACTGCTGAGTCTGCATCTCCTTAGAAGAGATGACTCTTAAGTCACGCTCCTTCACAATTGCAAAGCTGTTTGGGGATGAGTTAAGTGTAAAGCATTTCCAAGGTAAAAACTCCCAACTCATTGCTTTGTTTCTCCCCAGATTGAAGCGGTTTATTTGAAAGGTATGAGAAAAAAAACCAAACCAAAAAAAAACCAAAACAAATGGAAGTGGTCTATCTGATCAAATTCAGTTGTTGGGGTCAGGTACATAGTTGATAATTTATTCACCATGTGACCAAATATTTGATTTAAACTTTTTTGTACAATATGCATCGAATGAAGACCTGGTGATGACATAGTATAGACATTTGTGACCTCAAGACTCAATTGTAAGATTGTTCTTTCATTAGGTTTTGAGTGAGGCTGATCTATAAATCATAGTTTTTCAGACTACAACAGCTTTCTGTCTGTGTTGCAAATATTCATATTCACATGAATCAAACTCTGTGTGTAAGTGTAGCTCTATGTGCAAGACAAAAAACCCAGAAATATTATATTGTGTGTTTGAAAATCTAAAATACTGATCCCGAAATCATGCAAGATTAAGGTCAATTTAGATAACTACATGAATTACTTAAAAACTTTATATTTTAATTCTCTGAAAGTGGCTTTACATTTAAGTATACAATCTCACTGCTCTATTAACAAACAACAATTACAGATCTGGAAACTCTTTGAAGTACATGTTACAATTTAAATCAGACATTTGAAGTAAGAGTTACAATGTAAGCTGCATTGCAATTCTTTAGGGAAGAAAGGGCACCAAGAAAGCAAAGCAGGCAAAGAGCACGTAATGGGGTACTGCTGGTGCACATCCACTTGTCAAGGCCACAGTAACTTGGATGTAAATCTCAGTCCTTGCAAGGAGTATACAAAAAGCTCTTGTACTTGTATTGATTTGAGACTCTTCCTCTAAGGATACTTTGCTTAACCACATGTAACTAACCAAGCTGGTTTCTAGGCTGATTTTTAAAGAGTCTTCTCTGTAGGCAAGTCATCATATGATGGAATAATGCAGAATACAGTTATTTTATTATATCTGTTTTATTATCTATATAATCAACCTAGTATTATCTATACTTAATACAATTAGGTATTTTTAAAAACATGGAAATAAAAATATTTATTATCTTTACCTGTCTAAGCATTGCTTTAAATGCAATGAATCGAAGCCTCATTGTAAGAATTTCTCCAGCTTTGCCAAATGTGAAACCCTATTTGAGAAAAGGTACAATGCTTAGCATACTGTTATATTTTTTGCGTTAATTCAATAAATATTTTAGACACATTGTCTCTACAATGTCAAAGTACAAAATATTGCTGTCCTGATTGCACAAAGCAAATGTAAAAAAAGGTTTAATATTAATAAATTCTAGTAGGTTCACAGTATAGACATTCAAATATTATTTCTCAAAAAAAAATATATAGAGCATAGCAATATCTCCCAGCACTACTTCACCAGCATGCTTCAGGCAAAAGATCACAAATCCACCCTTTGACTTCATTGTTATCCGAGTCTACCTAAGTCAAATTTAAACAAGTGGCTTCTAGGCCGCTTGTTTTAGGTTAAAGACTTTATAAGGCAATCTGAGTTCATTCAAGTCAAACACAAACTTCCCATTGACTGATGGAGTTAAGATTTCTTCCCCAGGATCCTAACACAAACTGACATAGCTATCAGCAGTAATACACAAGTGATGTTTTATAATGAATTGAACATAATTTTAGCCAGATATATGAATCAATTTAACAAGATACAAAAAGGAATCCACTGGTTAAAATTTTGGGATTCTACATTCTAGTATGACATCAGTGTTTATAATTAGCTTTATTTAGCTCACTACCACTTTTACGTGATTCCAAATACTAATTGTTTCAAATCGACACTTGTGAAATTGAATACTCTTCAAATACAAATGACAGATGCAACTGTACTATGTGATACAAAGAAAAATTATTATAGCATATTCCAATCAGCAAATATTTCTCAGTTAACTTTGATCAGTATCTTTGCTGTGCTCCTATACTGTCAGTAAATTTGCATAAGTATGTGACTTAGAAAAAATCACAACTGAACATCAGAGATTGGGCACTATATAAAGAGATTATAAGAACATTTTAAATTTTTTTCATCCTCACTAACTTGAGGGTGTTACATCTCAGTGAACTCTTCCCACTCATATTTAAAACATTATCTGAACATTTATAAATTGAGCAAACCTGTCATAGCCATCTACAACTCAGTGCTCTATACTCAAGGCCTTGCATGCATATGCAACAAGACAACTCCATAAATAAACCAGGAGTTTTTTGTAAGAGACTCTTTATGCTGCTGTCCCAAGTGTATTTTATTATTTCACTGTGTAGGCTCCTTTAATGCATAATACTAAACAAATATATTGAGAAATTATAAACCAGACTATACATGAAAATATTTAAACGCCAGAGTTTCCACCTGTATGATTACTAGCTTTTTTTTTTTTTTTTTTTTTAGTGTGGAACTGTTGTATCGGTGAGATACATGTAAGAATTAGGGTAAAGTTACAATACTTTTTTTGTACAAGCTGAGATGGCTACAGAGAACAGTGAGAGCAGAGAATAGGGTGTTACTGTTCAATCATTAGTATTTAAGCAGCAGGAGCTGAATATCAGTATGATGGTGTTACTTGATGAACTGGGCCTGAGAATCTTTGAGGTGGTCACATAAGATGAGACTTGAATGGGGAAGAGGTTAGGGGACTAAAAAATTGGAGAGCTAAGGCAGGAGATGAGTAGATTTGCAGTTACTAACTGATTCAAATAGGAGGGCTTGAGAGTGAGAAGGGAGTGGTATAGTGTAAAGGCTGGAGGGGTTGGCCGTTAGGTGGCAATGGAAAAAATAGTGAGAGAATCCAGAGTTTCATGCTGAGATATGTTTGACTGCTGAAGAAGAGGGGAAGTTCGGAACTTAAGAGGTCAGAATAAGTTGGAAGGTCTCTAACACATGAGAAGCTCTAAGTCAAAAAAGATTCAACTGAGGAGAAGGCACATCTAGAACCATGAATGCAGGGTCTAGTTTGAGTTAAAAACATGTATTAAGAAGATACAAATTTTTAGTATATTTCAGATCTGTTTTTTAAAACATGATGAACAATTACAATAAAGCTAAAATAATAAAACTTACCTGAAAAAAGAAAGTAAAAAAGGAAATGATCCCGAGTACTAAAAACAGCGCTGAATATAAGTTGCTCTTTTGTCTTAAAACGGTCTTGTTAGTTTCTGTAAAAATCTATAAAATAAATATTTAAAACAAGAATTTTTTACATCAGCTAATAATCTAAAATACTCCCATATTTCTCAATAACTATGTTTGGTAGTCATTTGCATTCATATAAAATCTGAACATATGTTACATATGATTATAGGTAAAACAAGCAAATTTCAGGGTGTGGCAAGATTTTTAGGATTTTGTATCTTTTGTATATTTTAGGATTTTGGATCTCATATAATTCTTTGGATTTTTGTAGTAGTGCTTCATCCACTCCTCAGCTTCATTATGCAGTGATTGTTTGAGACCTGGTTTTATTAGAAATAAATTTTGTGCATATTTTATTCAAACTTACCCCTATAATTTCTGAAAATATGATTGCAAATGCAGGTTGCAAAGCTCCATTGATAATTGCACATAAAGTTCCAGCTACAAAGTATGGCCATTCAGTTTTGTTCAACTTCATAATTTTCAGAAATGGAGCTGGAGGTAATTCTTCATCCTAAAAATGGTAATTGTGTTAGGACAAATATGTATGCATTTGGAGAAATATGGAGAAAGAGAGAGATGAATAGTCAATTTCCTACTCCCAGAATCTACCCAAGGGAAGTCAAAATGCACACTTTTTAATAACAATTAACTGATTGCACATTTCTTTTTATTATTTTAATACAAGGAAGAAAGAGCTGTTAGAATATATCTACAGCTCTTGTCAGCATATGTTAGTTTATCTATATAATTTTCACTGAACAATAGTCTTGTTATTGGTCAATGGTGACTGAACTATTAATTCTGGGCATATTGTTGAGCGTAATCCATGACTAGATTAATTCAAGCAATTTTTCATTAAGCAATTTATAACAGCAAAGCATTTTCCATAAATAGGAATGTAATCATAACAAAACAAGTTATTAATATTATCAGTCAAAGGCTACTTAGAATTAGAAAATTCTCTTCTACACACCCCCCCCCCCCCCCCCATCAAATGCCTCCTTCTTGTACCTTTCTAGAGCAGGAAGATGAATTTAATTTTAACATACTTTGTTGAAAAGAATCATAGTGCATTAACAAACAGCTCTGCAAAGATACTTACAGGTGTACTAGTTTTCTCATCAGGATCATAGTTTTGTGCTCCTGGCTTTTTCATGCTTCTCCGAATTGATCGTCTTCTCAATCCTTTTGTTAAGGATTCTTCAAATTCTGGTTCAGATTCACTTTTTTTGACACTAAGTGCATTCCCATCTTTTTCTGATGTTGGAACTTCAGTTTCTATTGCCTAAAAGAGGGAAGAACACTATGCTAAGATTAATTATGCATATATTACTTTGGACTTTCAAAATTATGAGGTAATCAAAGTAAAAGTAACTTCGATTGTTTCAGCAGAAAGAGATATGGGGAAAACAATCCATAATGCTATAAAGCAGACATGAAAATCAGCATTGTATTTGAGTAGATCTCTATCTTCAGAGCTCAATTCATATATAAGAGTATCCCACTCCTCAGGAAAATACTTATACTAAGTGGAAGGCAGGGAAGTGGAAGTAGCTGCTCTTTTTCTTATGAATCAACAGTTTTAAACTGAGTGTAAACCATTTGTACTCATCTTGGGATCTTTTTGAATGAGTTCTCTGTAAATACACTGTTTATTCATGAGGTGAGAAAAAATTACCCATCTTTAGTGCAGAACACTTAACAATTCTTGACTACAAACGTGATAAGGAAGTTCAGGATGAAACAAGTCAAAAAGAGATTTTAACTGACAAATCTGAACAGTCTGGAAAAGAGCCCTACTTTGCGTGGTAGTTTGGCCAGTCTCTTTGACAGAATAAATAAATGTTTACCCACCACTGAGGTATTTAATAGTAACTGGATTCAAGGTTGCATTCAACTTCTACTTTTTTTTTTTCCAGAAAGTTTTTTTTTCTTAGTGCTACTTGTACTACTAATAAAAAGAACTTTTTTTGCTTTCTTTCCTTTTTTTTTGTTATTTTATGTTATATTTTATTTTCTTTCCATTTTACATTTCCTTATTTTCCCCATTATCATATTTGCTTGAATACAAAGTTACTTTGAATCTAAGGTGACCAAATGCATTCTCATACTTATTTTATGAAGAAATGTTTTAATTGGCCCAGTTTACTCTTTTCAGTCTGACATACTGAGATGGCAGTTTCAGTTTCTTTAATGCGGTAAAACACCAGCGACACAGAAGGCTACAGTGAAGCTCAGCTATAACCTAACTATTAGACGAGACATTGGGATGTACCAAAGTATTTTTTTCTTCAATTAGTAGCTAATACGTTTCTGATATTTATATTAATTTCCAGTCTCTCTGTTTCTGGCTACATAACTTTAAAAGCGTACATATTTTTGTACTCAGCACACCTCAACTACTTTTCTTTTTCTCCTATTCCAGCACTTATTTTTTCTTTAGAAAGAAATTTAGTATGAAGGACTGTAATTAAACAGCTTAAAATATGCATTCTCTGTTCCTCCAGTATCAGCTACGGTATTTTACCTTTTGTCATAGGCTAAGAACAAGAAATGGAATAGCAAACTACTGTAGTCAGATGCTCTACATTAACTGTGTAAAAGGAAAATATAAAATAATCTTTTAAATTTAAATCCCTAGAGGATTAAAAATGTACTCTCCTGGGTTTAAATAGGTCTGATATCAAAACTACTGATCTTCTCTCTTAAATAACTGCTCTCCTTTCAAACTACATATTTTTCTTGCTGTTAACAAAATAAGTTGCAGAAATCCCCATACTTCTGATAGCATGCAATAACGATGGGTGTGGAACATGAAAAAGAAAATGAGGCAGCAGCTAGCGAGAAAATGTACCTGCATGTTAACGAGTTTGTAGTAGATTCCCTTTCTCTCAAGCAATTCAAAATGATTCCCTTGTTCTGTGATAACTCCACCTGCAAACACAGCTATAAGATCTGCATTTCGGACTGTTGACAGTCGATGAGCTACAACAACCGTGGTGCGTCCTTCTCTTGCCTAGAAATAACAACATTTAATATGGCTATTTCTAAGTATATTCAAAGATTATTCATCTTCATATTAGAGTTGAATAAGACCTAAGGAAAATATTACATTGTTCACAGAAAAATATAACTTTCAAAAAAAATTTTAAAAAGATGTTTTGATGAGTACCTTAAAACAGAAATATAATCTTTAGCTGGAAAATTAATATTAGAGACAATCTTTCACTTTGGCACATAAAAATATCAAATTTTGATTCCAAATATCTAAAAAAATTATCAGTATTAAAGATTTCAGAATGTTACAATTTTATGAACTTTAAAATTCTAAAAATGCTAAAAGTTTTTATATTTAAACTTATAATTGTTCATATAAACCTTAAAATCTGTGAAGAATAGCTTATACTCAGAAGCATTAGAAAATATTACACACTGACATTTAAAAAATTCCAATGTTTTAAGCTCTAAGCCATTGCTGACTGAAGTAATTTCACTGAAAATAAAATTCTTTACATCTTCATGTGAAAAGCATTTCAGCTACTGACCTAACATTGGATATGCTTATAAACCTATTGCACATAATGTATCAAATGTCACAGTTTGCTGTTTTAATTACCAGGCTGTATTAAAAAGATCAAGCAACATTTAGTTCAAATAATCAAAGTAATGATCCCAAGCAGTGGAATTTTGATGGAACCTGGATGGAGATCATCTTCAGTGATGTCCCTCAAGGGTCCATACTGGCATGTATACTATTTAATATCTTCATTGTTGACATGGATAAACAGGATTGAGTGCAACCTCAGCAAGTCTGTGGATGACACCAAGCTGTGTGGTGCAGTCGATTGGCTTTGAGGGAAGGGATGCCATCCAGAGGGACCTTGACAGGCTTGAAAAGTGGGCACATGCAAACCTCATGAAGTTCAACAAGGCCAAGTGCAAGGTCCTACACATGGGTTGGGGCAATCCTCAGTACCAATACAGACTGTGGGGTGAATGTATTGAGAGCAGCCCTGCAGAGGACTTGGGAATACTGGTAGATGAAAAATTGGACATGAGCTGGCAATGTGCACTTGTTGCCCAGAAAGCCAAATGTATCCTGGGCTGCATCCAAAGAACTGTGGCCAGCAGGTCGAGGGAGGTGATTCTGCCCCTTTGCACTGCTCTTGTGAGACCCCACCTGGAATACTGCATTCAGCTCTGGAATCCCTAGTACAAGAAAGACATGGACTTTTTAAATCGTGTCCAGAGGAGGGCCACAAAAATGGTCAGAGGACTAAAAGACCTCTCCCATGAAGAACACTTGAGAGTGTTGGGGTTGTTCAGCCTGGAGTGGTGAAGGCTCCAGGCAGACCTTATTGTGGCCTTTCAGTGTGTAAAGGGGGCTTATAAAATAGTTAGAGAGAGACTTTTTACCAGAGCCTGTAGTGACAGGACAAGGGTCAATGGTTTTAAACTGAAAGAGGGTAGATTTATATTGGATATGAGGAATAAATTCTTCACTCTGAGAGTGGTGAGACATTGCAACAGGTTGCCCAGAGAACTTGTGGAAGCCTTATCCCTGGAAGTGTCCAAGGCCAGGTTAGACAAGGCTTTGAGCAAACTGATCTAGTTGAAGATGTCCCTGCTCATGGCAGAGGGGTTCAACTAGATGATCTTTAAAGGTCCCTTCCAACCCAAACCATTCTATGATTCTGTGATTCCCTAGATCTTCTGCAAAGATTTATGAGGACCCAAATTTATAAGATAATGTCACCAAGAAAAGCTAGACAAATGACCTCTGTGTTAAATGCGTTTTCTTAATAATTCTCCTCAAACTGTCTTTCTCTATCTAAGAGCAGCAAGAAGCATGTCCTGGTTTTAGCTGGGACCGCGTTAGCTCTTCTTTTTAGCAGCTAGAAGAGCTCCGTGTTTTGGTTTTACTCAGAGGCTCGCTCTGAGAAGAATGTTGATAGCAAGCAGATGCTTGTGGTTGGACGTGAAACTCCAAGGACTTTTCAGTGTGCCGGAGTGCAGAAGCACGGCGGGATAAGGGGGGAGCATAGCTGGGACAAGGGGGACACAATTTCCCGTGTGATTTGTGGTGGAACTTAAGATTGAGGGTCAAACTGGCCAATTAGCATTCCATATCATGCAGCGTCATGCCCAGTATAAAAGTGAGGGTCAGCTGGGAAGAAGGGCTTTTGCGCTTTGGCTCTTTCGCCGCTTCTGCTCTTTTGTGCTTGCTGCTCTGTTGCTCTATTGTTTTTTTTTTCTCTCTCTCTCCCAGTACTCCCACTCTCGGAGTACTATCTCTCTCTCTCTCTCTCTGCCCCTCTCTATTTCGGGGCCTTGCGTTCGTCCGGGATTGCAGCTTCGGGACGAGACGGGCTTCGCATACGAGGGGGTGGTGAGCATCTACACTGTGTATTAAATCATCTGTATTAAATTGCTCTTATCTCAACCCACGGGTCTCCAATTTATCCTTTAATTCTCTCCCTCATCCCTGGGGCTGGGGGAGAGGGTGAGTGAGCGACTGTGCAGGAGCGGTTGTGTTGCCAGAGCGGCCTAACCCACAACACAGCATTACAGTACTCCAGCAGAATCATTTGGGGGTAAAACTCCAGTTTGAGTCCAGAGAATCCTCAGTGGCACCAGGGATCAGCTGTCCCTTAGTGACACAGTTCTACACTAAGGGAAAAACAAGCACCTAGAAGTATTCATGTTAACTGAAGCAAATGTTTCCTTGGAGTGTTTCCTCCCAAGTCACTGCTACAATCACTTACAACATGCTGGTAGCACTCACCTTGTCTGTCAGGCTTCAATACGAATTAAATAAGCAGCTGACTGACAACAATATGCATGCCTGTAAGACAGATGATTGCAGGGGATGGTATTCACACCAAGAAAACATTGATTTAAGCTAAACAATGCAGAAAATACAATTCCATCTTCTGTCTTGAAACAAAATTCTCTAATACCTGTAGGATCTCAAAAATTCTCTATACAGAAAATATTTGCCAAATCCAAATTTACATTCCGTGTTTTAAGGGTGTCTATTTCTTCCAGGTCTTTCAACAAATGACTGGGGAAAAGCAAATATTAGGCTCCTGCTTACCTGCTTCATTTTAGAGCACTACTGACCTTGTCCAGTGCTGCCTG